GAGTGAGAGTGATTATGAGTCAGATAGCAGCCATGAAACTTATGTTCCAGATAGTGATTAGACAATAATTATATAACATAAATATATATAATAATGGTGAAATCGTATTGTGTTAAACAGAAGAAGCAAACAGAATGCGTAGAACCTTTGGGTTATAAAACTGCCAAAAATGGTAGACTTATGTTTTGGTGCACTTGTGCTGAATGTGGAATAAAAAAGTTTAAGTTTGTCAAGAAGGGGAACTAGGTCAGCCTGTCCTAGGGGCAGGCGTAATCGATACAATAGCTGGTACTGCTCTTGATGGGTTTGTACATCATGCTTTACCTTATATGGCAAAAAAGACCGTTGAGATGGGAAGATATTACGGGTCAGAAGCGTTACGCAATAAAAAGTTACAGAAAAAAGCTATAGATTATGCTTTGGACAAATTAAATCCAATGATCCAGAATGTCGGTTATCAAGCTCTTAACCAATTATCAACCAAAATACGACCAAAGAAAAACTACAAAACTAACAGGAAAGATTTGGATGGAGGTGCTATAGATATCCACAAGCAGATTGGTAAATTACCAAAACCAGCAGGTGGATGGACTTTACCAGGACATCGGTATACAGGCCCTTACAACGATCTCGAAAATCAAGTAAGATACAATCCAGAAACTGATGAAATATTAGAAATTTATGATCCGCCAACTGAGCCAACCGATGCCGTGGTCATGCAACATGATGTCGATTATAGTGTTTGTGGTGATAACCGAAAGTGCAAAAATAAAGCTGACCGTAAAATGGTAAAATCATTAGACGCCATTCCTTATAATGAACGACAATGGGGTCACTGGTTAGCTAGAAATCTAATAAACACAAAACAGAAACTCGGTCTTGGTTTAAACTAGAAAAGCCGTCGGGTAACAGTTGACAACAACAATTAGCAGACAAACTGCATAAACCAATAAAACGCAACTTTACTCGGCGGCGTGTTATTACAACCGGTATTGACAAAATTTGGTGCTCAGATCTGGTTGAGATGCAACAGTTCAGCAAATGGAACAAAGGTTATAGATATCTTCTCATGGTACTAGATCTATTCTCCAAATATGGCTGGATTGTCCCACTGAAGGATAAGAAAGGGGAAACTGTCACAGAAGCATTCAAAACCATCTTCAAAGAGGGCCGTAAACCACAATATCTTTGGAATGATAAAGGGAAAGAGTATTATAACAAAAATATGAGGGAACTGTTGGAAAAGAATAATATAACACTATATTCAACCGAGAATGAGGAAAAATCTAGTGTGTGTGAAAGATGGAACCGTACAATTAAAACCAGAATGTGGAAGCAGTTTACTGTCCAGGGTAATACCCAATATCTTGACATACTACCAAAAATATTGAAGCAATATAGCAATACCAAACACAGTTCCATTAAAATGACTCCTGTAGAAGCTAGTAAGAAGAAGAATGAAAATGCCGTATATTATAATCTGTATGGTGATATGGAGCGATCATCATCTAAGCCCAAATTTAAGGTTGGTGATAAAGTTAGGATAAGTAAATACAAGAGAAAGGTGTTTGATAAAGGGTACACACCTAATTGGACAGAAGAGATATTCCTGATTGATAAAATCCAATCCACAAACCCGATCACATACAGATTAAAGGATCTCAATAATGGGGAAATACAGGGCAGATTTTATGAGCCAGAATTACTACCAGCAAAACAGGACGTATTTCGCATTGACAAGGTCATTCGGAGGGATTATAAGAAGAAACAAGCTCTGGTAAAATGGTTGGGTTATAGTGACGACTTTAATAGTTGAATCCCACTGAGCAACCTGCAAGAATTATCTAATTAATATTATATATGGACGATCATATAAGAAAGCTTGATACTAAAATCCAAAGTAAGGAATCGGAGCTTAATGCACTATTCACTAAAATCCAAAAATTGGAAGAGATTGCGACATTATACCACAAGAAATTAATATCCAAAAAACTGGAATCAGCTGAGATGACATTAACAGGCGTTTTAGGTGCAATCTTTGAAACGGAGGAAGAGGAGGAAGAGTAAGGATGACCATAAACAGTTAATTTATTGGCGTCCCATTCTGTGACAGCAACAAAGCACCCTCAAAAGGCTACCCCGTAGTTTCTACGGGTCAGGTCTAATGTGCTGATAACGGCACCTCAGGCCTAGCAAACTTTTTAATCGATCATTCTTTTCATATAATATGGTCTGAATGATAGTAATATTTATGTAATCTAAATATATGAAAAGAATGATTGAAAAAAGTTTGTTAACGAAGATTTAGAAATTGAGCTGACATCATTTATTGATGATAAGCAAAATGTTTGGTTCAAGGGTAAAGATGTTGCTGAGATCCTCGGTTATAGTAATACTACTGATGCTATTAAGAGACATGTAAGTAAAAATCATAAAATAAAACATCTCCCTGGGCAACAGCGTGAAACACGCGGTTAGTCTATGACCTATTTTATTGATGAAGCCGGCTTCTATGAACTTGTATTTAGCTCCAAATTAGAAGCTGCTAAAAAATTCCGTGATTGGGTATTCACCACAGTCCTCCCGTCTATCCGTAACTATGGCCAATACAAACTGTTTGATAGTCCCTGGAATAAGATGATCATGATTGGCAATGAGATTGACCTCCATTACAAAATAGTGAGCCTCATAAGGAGATATTATCCAGATTCCATATTAGTAGCCGGGCTGGGTGAAAATCAAGATACTGAAGACAAACGCCTCGATTCGTATAAAAAAGGATATATGAGAGGACAGCCTGATCTAATGATACTCGATTATCACAAAGATTATAAAGGCCTCTGTATTGAATTCAAATCACCAACTAATAATTATCATGTTTCAAAAGCACAATATGAGTTAATGGAAAAATACAGTAATAATGGCTATAAATTTATCCTAAGTAACGACTATGATGAAATCTGTATAGAAGTACATGATTATATGAAAGGCATTAGATTACAATAGATTGCCGTGTAATTATTGCATCAAATATTTCCATAATAAAGACACCCTTACTACCCATTACAGAGTCATCCAAGCGATTATCTAATTAATTAGTATATGAATGCTGACCAATTATTAGACAACTATACTGAACTCCAAAAGATAGAATTACGAAAAAATCTGAATACATTCACTCTCAAAGAGCTCAAAAAAGAAATCATCAAAATGAAAGCTGATAAGTTTGCTGTTACAAAAATAAAAAGACGACAGATTATTGAATTAATTGTACAGTATCATTATCTTTTTCCTCATTTATTGACAAAACAAGGTTCCAAAGGTACTAAACGAAAGGGTAATAAACAAAAACCCAACTTACCCCAGTTAACACACATGCCTAATTGTTCAACAAATTCTATGGCGCCATCTAACACACAATTGCCACCATTAGCACAGAAACATCTTGAAAATTTGTATAAACTAACCGCTAATAATTCTAACTAACTGACCTAATCAACCGGTTATCTAACTGACTAACTATCTGACTATCTAATTTATTCGCTACTTTCTTTCACCCATTGTAGCATTAATTTGATCACCAGTTGGCCATAAAAGGCGAAAAGGGCATTAAACACAAATTTTGATCAATAATAAAACAAGTTAAGAAATGTAAAAAGACCAAGCAAATAATTAAAAAAGGCGTAATAATACATATAAATATCCAGTTTTTTTGATAAATTCTTGTTTTTTCATTCGTTTGCTATTAAGAAGCAATTCACTTGCATAATTATTTAGCTCTTCAAATTTATACTCTGGATCGGACTTACCTGGTTCAATCCGGTTTAATTGATCTTGTCTTTCTTTTTCCTCAAAATATTCATCTTTTTTACGCTCTTCTTCCTCCTCCATTTTCAAAATTTGATAAATATCCAATTCCGGTTCCTCAACCAGTTCAACCGGTTTCAACCGCTTCAATCTCCCAATTAATTCATCATTTTCATCATCCATCTCAACCCATTTTTTATCATTTTCGACTTGGCGATCCTGTTTAATTTTTTCGATCCGATTTAATAATTTTATATGTTCTTCTTCATTATATTGAGCGCGGCGCTCGTCTTTACAAATATTTGGACGATAATTCGACTCACTCTCCTCAATCATATCGCTAAATTCACTGATTTTTTCAGCAGTAGACTTAAAATGGTCATAAAGATCTTGTATATCAAAACCATTCTGATTAATTAGCTCACATAACTGCAAATTCGAATTAACTAAAACTTGGCATAAACTCTTGATAACTTGACTTGACTTCATAATATATAATAGAGGGGTTTCTTTAAGTACCTTTCGTTTTGTCCAATTAATTAGCAAAAATAACCAGTCCAAACCGGTATCAAAAATGCTGACATCAGCAAGAATCCCAAAATCTGTACTGAGTGTGAAAAACAGGTCTTACAGCCATCGTAGTTATATTTCTTTTTCCAAAGAGATTAAAGTTGATGCGTATAAATCTAGACGCACTGGAGAGTCTCTTTCATTGTATTTTGAAATACAATTTATTGATTCATTCAAGTTTCTTCAGACTAGTCTTGCTAATCTTGTTGGAAATTTACAACCAGATGATTTTTATAATACAAAAGAAATATTCAGGGAAAACGTAGAGTTATTAACTCGTAAGGGAGTTTATATGTTTCCTCAATCGAAAAACTATCTAAACACAATTACCTCCAAAAGAAGAATTCTATTCAAAACTAAATGATGAAGGTATATCAGATGATGATTATCAACACGCTATTAATGTTTGGAATATTTTTAAATGTAAAACAATTAGAGATTATCACGATCTTTACCTAAAGTCTGATGTTCTCTTGTTGGCAGATGTATTTGAGAACTTTAGAAAAACTTGTCTGAAACATTACAATCTGGATCCAGCGCATTACTGCACATCTCCTGGTTTGGCTTGGGATGCATGTCTCAAAGAAACAGGTCAAGAATTACAACTGTTGCATGATTATGATATGTTGATGATGTTTGAAAAAGGTATACGAGGTGGAATATCACATATAGCAAAGAGATATGCAGAAGCGAATAACAAATACATGGCTGATTACGATCCTGATGAACCTCCTACTTATATTCAATACCTTGATGCTAATAATCTTTACGGATGGGCAATGTCACAATCACTTCCCACACACGGATTTAAATGGATGAGAGATTTAACAAAAGAAACTGTAATGGATATATTGGAGAAAGCAAATCATAGTATGATAAATCCAAAGACTAAAAAAGGATATATATTTGAAGTAGATTTGGAATGCCCCCCTGATTTATGGAAATCACATAATGACTATTCACTTGCACCTGAGAAAATGATTGTTAATGGTGTTGAAAAACTAATTTGTCATTTTAAACCAAGAAAAAACTATGTTGTTCATTATCGAAATCTAAGACAATATCTTGACATGGGAATGAGAATAACTGCTGTTCACAGAGGAATATCTTTTATTCAGAGTTCTTGGATGGAACCTTACATCAGAAAGAATACTGAACTTAGAAAAACAGCAGCAAACAGTTTTGAGAAAGACTTTTTTAAACTAAAGAATAATTCAGTATTTGGAAAAACAATAGAAAACATAAGGAAAAGACAAAATATACTACTTGTTGATGATCGTGCCAAAGCTGTAAAACTAGTATCACGTCCAAACTTTGATAGAGCAACAATATTTGATAAAAATCTTATTGCAGTTCATATGAAGAAAACTGAAGTATACTTTAACAAACCAGTATATGTTGAACAGGCAATTCTAGATTTGTCAAAAACATTAATGTTCAATTTTCATTACAACTATATTCAAAAGAAATATAAACACAGGGCTGAGTTATTGTTTACAGATACCGACTCGTTGATGTATCAGATTTATACAGATGATTTTTACAAAGATATATTTCATGATGTAGAAACCAAGTTTGACACATCTGATTATCCTCCTAACCACCCATCTGGTATACTGACAGGTTTAAATAAAAAAGTAATAGGAATGTTTAAAGATGAAGTAGCTGGTCGTCAAATTACTCACTTTGTTGGTCTTCGTCCGAAGCTTTATAGTTTTAAAGTAGAGGATGGAAGTTTAACCAAAAAGTGTAAGGGGATAAAGAAAAATGTTGTTAAAGAGGGTATAAATTTTGAAGACTATGTACAGTGTTTATTTTCTGGTGAAAAGCAAATGAGATCGATGAAAATTATAAGAAGTGAAAATCATGATATATATTCAAAAGAAGTAAATAAAATAGCTCTGAGTAATGAAGATGATAAGCGCAGTGTGATGGAGGATAAAGTAAAAACACTTGCTTTAAGATAATAAGATATATAATAATAAATGGTTTACACAAAAGAAGAGATAGAGCGATATTTGGAAATATTAAGAAGTTATAATAATGCCCAATCAGAAGGGGAAGAAATACGAAAGTTAGATGTAGGAATTGTCTAAGCGATAGTTTCTTTGTTGAATCAGGTTATAATATTTGTGATTCCTGTGGGACAACTAATGGCCATGTTATTGGTTATTTTGACTTGAAAGAGTACGATCGATTACATTTTCGAAAGAAGAGTATTTATCAGAGAAAGTATCACTATGAGAAAAAGGTTGATCAAGTTTTCAGAAGACTACACCTAACTGAGGATCAAAAGTACGAACTGTACAATAAACTAATGAAAATAGACAACAATGTCATGGAAATACTAAACCATCAATTTCGTAGAAAGAGAATGATAAGCATTTTTTATCTGATCAAAAAATTCCTAGAAGAAATGGGTTGTGAAAAGAGCAAACTAGTTTATCTAAAGATTTCCGTCCAAACTATGGAGAATTATGAAAAGTGGTGGGATAGTTACAAATCACTCCTCTGTGAAAGCAACAGTAAATAATTCCAGTTAGATAACCAAGTACTTCGCATTCTTTAAACGGTGTGTTGATTGTATAGACACATTCCCTACCAATCCTATACTGTTTCCAGAAAGCGTGGAAAGCGAGACTAAATATTAAATGATTGGCTAGTGTGGGTGAGTTTGATTTGCAACTATGTCTAGCGTCTGATAGTCTATAAATAATTTGGTTTATGTCCAATTTTTGTGTGAAATACTTTGCATAGAGAAACTGGTAAACAAGACAAGCTTTAATAAAGTTATCAGGGTAAAATTGTGTTTTATATGTGGGAAAGTAAAATTAAGAAATGGTAAACGTGCAGCGTGCAACCATGGAGTTATGGATGCACGCGGGAGGTTGCTAAGCACGAAAGAAGCGTAAGAGTCGCACGAGGCGATAGCCGAGTGCGACTCTAGCTTCTTGAGTGCTTAGCAAACCTCCCAAGTGCACCCATAACTCCATAGTTGCACAGCTGCAACGTTTACCATTTCTTTTATAACAAAATCAAATTAGGGTAAAAATTTTGAGGGAAAACTATAGCTGCAACTATAAACACTAACTAAAAAGACTCTAAAACACAAGCTAAAACTAAATAAATGAAATAATTATCAAGCTTATTTATGTGACAATTTTTGAAATAAACGTAAAGCGGTAATGAGAAAATTTGAAGGTAATTCCTTTAGAATAACAGGTAGCACTAATTTTAAAAAGAAATTAACTAGCTTTGTATCGAAATCTGTCTGGGGAAATCCAGCTATGAAAGTTAAAGTTAAAACTGAAATTCGCCGACGCACAGCCGGCGCTGAAGCTGTTTTTTTTCCACCGTTCTCTGAACGACTGTTATGAATGAACACTAAGGAACAAAATAATACACACAGAAGTCATTTTTTGACAAATTTATTTGAAAACCCAAATGTTTCTGTACTCAAATGAAATTCGCTTATTCCAGCGTAATGTGTCCGTTTTAACTCAACTAAAATTTTTAATCGATGCGATGAAAACTTCCCAACAAAGCTGTCTCGAATTTGAGCGTGTTTCCTAAAACATTTGCTTGAATTTAGCATCAGCTTGACCGAAAAGTCAATAACACAATGCTAATTGATAAATTTACATTTCAAATAGACTTTCTCTTCTATAAAAAACATACAAAATGTACCTTAAATCTTCGCTCCCTCGATTTACCTTCAGCCGATTCTAGCCGCGAGGAAAACAGTGATTAATTCATCCAGGGCAAATTTGTCGCTTGATCTTTTGTCTTTTTTCCTTCAAAACGACAGCTTAGTATTTTCTTCAACTTCCACTTTTCATCTGTGCATTTCATCGGTGTATTTTACCGTCAGGAGAGGAGATTAGTTGAATTTGCCTAAATTTTACCACACTAGCTCAGTTTCTTGGCGTGCACCCAAGGGTAAATGGTAGTGGCTAACTGACCAATCAGAGCGCGCGATTTACTTTTGTTATGTTATAAATTCACATATGCTACAATTGACTTTATCATTTCTATCTTATGAATAGATAGAAATGTTGGCGTCCACAAAACGTGGACGGTGAACTTTTAAAATTAGCTTAAAGAGATAAAAGTAAAATATAAATGGCAAATATGTTGGAGAAAAAGTTTGTTAATGAAGATTTAGGAATCGAAATGAATTCTTATATTAATAATAAGCAAAATATTTGGTTTCGAGGAAAGGATGTTGTTAAGATACTTGGATATAAAGATACTGACGATGCTGTCAGAAGGCACGTATCCGCAGAAAACAAAAGGACAGAATTTATACGCCCAAAAAGCTGCCCGGTGAAACGCCGGGTCAGGTTAGAAAAAGCTGCCCCGCCAAAACGGCGGGTCAGGTTGATGATAAAGACCGAAAAAGCTGCCCCGTTGAAACGCTGGGTCAGGTCCAGGGCAGATGGATTACATTTATTAATGAGCCTGGCTTTTATGAACTTGTATTTAGTTCTAAATTAGAGTTTGCTAAAAAGTTCCGCCAGTGGGTATTTACTACAGTTCTACCATCTATTCGTAAATATGGTCAATACAAACTGTTTGATAGCCCCTGGAATAAGATTATCATGATTGGCAATGAAACTGTACTGACCTCCATTATAAAGTAGTGAACCTCATAAGGAGATAATATCCAGATTCTATATTAGTAGCCGGACTGGGAGAGAATCAAGATACAGAGGATAAGAGACTAGATTCATATAAAAAGGGATATGGGATATATGAGAGGACAGCCCGATTTAATGATACTTGATTATCATAAAGATTATAAAGGTCTTTGTATTGAATTTAAATCACCAACTAATAATTATAATATATCAGAAGCTCAACTAAAGATGAAAGAGAAGTATCGTAATAATGATTATGCATTTATACTTAGTAATGATTATGATAAGATAAGCAAAAATATTCATAAATATATGGCTGGTGTTCGTATTCCTTGTAAATATTGCACAAGAGCATTTCGTAATAAAAAAACACCAAATAAACATTATAAAGTTATTCATAGAATTGAGAAAAACATCTAATTTCTATATAACATATATAGAAATTAAAGGGGGCGTCGAAACGATGGGTCCTAGTTTACATAAACTTTGTATTATATTTTTTAACAAATCTATCTGCTATAGGAGTCTGATCAATTATCATTTCATCTATCAACTTCATTCGATCGATAAACTCTTGTTTGTTAAACTCATCTCCTCTCAGAGCTGATCTCAATTCTACGAGCACTTTTTCATATGTTGTAAATGCAATTTGTGACATTTCAATCTTTTTCTTATAATTCTTCATTTTTGCAATACTTGCTACGACCACCCCGGCGCCATTTATTACACCGAGTATTATTGGATTTAGTGTTATTCCACCAGTGATAGTTCCTATCACCACTAATCCTCCTCCAGAAAGTGTAAGTGTTTCATCAAGAAGTATATATCTTTTGTATGATTTCTTAAAACACCAGTATTTCTTATGATAATGTTTATAGAAATCTTTGAGAGTAGTGACGTCTGATTCTGACAGAGAGTTATCAATGTGATTGAATTCAAAGATGTCTTTTATTTATATTTACACTATATAAGATCCACTTAACTTTTCTTGAAGCATTACTTTGTGAAATTGAATAGAGTCAAAGTCGTAAAAGTTTGGAGAATACATTAATCTAATTAACTCTCCATCTTCAGTTGTAAACTTCCAACGTTGAGTAGTGGAGTAGTGAACGGCTGGTATAGTTAATGTTGATCTGTAATAACTTATTTTAGCTTTTGTGACATTTCTATCAAAATTTTCTGTTAGCCATAAAACAATTTTTTGTCCATTAAACCTACTTGGTATGGTAAAATTTTGAGTTGTTTTATTAACAGTTAGATTTACTTTATTGTTTGTTTTATTATAATTTAATTTTAATAGTATATTATTGTTTGTTGATATATATTTAGTTAGGCTAAAATTCCTATTTCTCCAATGGTAAAAAACAATACATAAACTATTGCTATTAATATTGCTAACTGTACCCACAATACCATAAGCAATCATATAAACCCCCTTAAAAAATTTCGGATATCTCATAATGCCATATCCTTTTTTCGAAATATTAACAAGAATGTGAAGAAAGTATTTATACCCAGATGACATCTTCCGAAAATTAACTATTATTCTATGGTAGTACATAAATTTTGTTTGCCCTTTTGAATCAGTATACCTATGGGATAGTTTCCTTACACTTTCATTTCCAATTATTAATCCTGTTGAAGTTCCTTTGTCAACACTTATTTGAGACTTATTCCAAAGATTATAATCAGTGTTAAGTAACTCCAGACATAGTGTGTAATCAGTATTAGCAGTTAGTCGGTAAAAATTAATTCCCATCTTATACTTATATTGACCTTGGGAATTTTTAATTATAGACATGAAAAGAACTTTACGGTTGTAATCGTGAAAGTTACCTTCTGAAGGTAGGTGAAGTCTCCTATCTTATATATAATAAAACTAAGACCACCATCGATTTCATCCGTCCATTGAGCCGCGCTTGACATTAGATAACTAAACTCATCTTTATAATGACTTGGTTGAATTGCAGTATGATGAACTAGTTTGTCGACGTAATCTTTGGTTACCGCTTCATTATTCTCGGTTGGATTACTCAGATTTTTTATTTTATTATTACCAACATTAAGGTCTCCAGTCATAGCGACGGTACCATCTTTTTCCAAATAATCACTCAAATCTGAGCTTCCTCCAGCATTATCATCAACATATTTCTTTGTTGCAGCATCTGTGTTTGACACTGGAGTTGCTAGACCAACTATTTTGTTGTTTCCATGATTTATGTTACCAGTCATTGCAATTGTTCCACCTTTTTTATAAAAGAACTAGTATCAGGTATTGAGTCATCCACATACTTTTTGGTTGCAGCATCTGTGTTATTTGTTGGTGGTCTTAAATGATTTATATTTTTATTATTCATATTTAAATTTTGTCCCATTGGGACTGATCCGTCAAGGTGAAGATACTTCAAATCGGTGAAACCCGTTGTTGTTGGTTGATTATTTCCTGTTGGAAGTGGAAGATTGTATATTCGATTATTATTCATGTTGACATTCCCAGTCATTGGATGACTACCATCTCTGTAAAAGAAACGTATATCGGCGTATTGTTTTGTGGCTGGTTCATCTGCGTCTATTGGAGCTTTAAGATTTTGAGTATCTATCCTTCATATCAATGTCTGAATCAACTGTTAGCCGTGATGTTGTGGGTGATCCACTGGAATTATCATCAACATATTTTTTTGTAGCAGCATCAGTATTAGCACTAGGTGCACCAACATTTCTTAAATTTTTATTTATCATATTATAATCCCCACTTGAAGTGAGACTAAAACCAACTCCTGGAGCACCCTGAATTCCCCTAGCAAAAGGATGATCAGAAGATTGTTCGTTAAATATACCCATTTTAATTATTAGTTATATTACCAGTAAAGTTTTTTGCGATACGTTTTTTTGGTTTATCAACGTATAGAAATGAATACGGTTTTTGAGTTTCTGCTTTATAATCTTCTTAATAAACTCCTAACTCAGATGATATTCTGTTAGATTCCCTCGATGATGGAAATTCGTATAAACAGTAGTGAGAACAATTCAATCGAATATCCTTTGGAGTTTTGTAAAAAGACTGACTGAGGTACACCACCGAACAATTCTTATGTCGTCCTTGAATGAAATAATCTATTAACTGTCTTTGATTTCGATCGCAAACATAGTCATCGAATATCACAAGTTTTTGATTGTCTTCATAATCCATTTCTGTCACTGGGGTTATTTCATCATTACTCACATGAAGAATTTCATATCCGAGTTTACTACTCAACTCCCTCATTTTTTGAATTAACTTTTGATACTTATCCTGTTCTAGATTACGCGCGTAAAGATAAATCTCATCATAATACAGTAGTGGTTTAATTAACATGTGGTACAACAGATTAGTCTTACCACTTCCACTGTTTCCACAAATTAACATTCGAAATGTGTCTGATGGCATGTAAGGAAATAACTGTTTATATTTTTTATCTGGGTTGTTACTACTATCACAGTTTGGTATTTCCATTTATATAATGATTTAATAAAATGAATGTTGAAGAATACAAAAAACTTGCACGAAATAAAATTGAAGCTGATGCTTTGACTAAACAGGTGAAAGATATAATAAAAATAACAAAATGGTAAAAACAAGATGCTCGAGAAGGTTTTAAAAAGTCATTTAAACCTCTGATTTCCCAGTTTGAAAAACCAGAGGACCCCCAAACAAAAAATATTTTTACCCAAAACCAGGAAATGCTTAAAATCAGCGTGTTCTTACAGAAGAAGCTATAAATAAAAAAAAAAAAGCTATTAAAAAATTGGCTGAACAATATGAGAGATTAGCTGATATAAAAGAATTGCCAGACTCAGATGACTGGGTACCATTACCACCACTAGATAATGAAGGAGACCCCTGGGATAGTTCCTGGGTACCTGTACCTAAACCATCAGGTAATTTAGAAAAAAACTTTGTTGGTAATGAACTTATTTTTGTACAAAATTATGATTATCCGAGACCAAGTGAATTTAATGAAACTAGTACTCAAGATTTAGAACAAATACATACAAACTTAAACGAAAATATAAGATTGTTAAATGGCCGAATTGTAGGTAGAAAAAAATAATAAAAATCCATCTCCAGAGTATGTAGCTGGAACTAATAAATTAAAAGAATCAGTAGGTATACTAAAAAAAATAAAGAAATACAATGAATAGTTATTTTAACTCAATTAACTATCAAGTAGGGCAGGGTATTTACTTTTATAACTCCCCCCAAGAATTACTAAAAAGACTTGAACTACTAGGTGGATCACTTGCCGCAGGAAACGATGGTGTATTGTCTGAATACATTCAAATCGCACATAAACTTAGAGACCTTGAGGTTGTTAATAATAACCAACTTAATAAACTATTACGAAATTATATATCAATTAAATAAAAATGGGAGAACGAGCTATCCACATTTCCTCAATAAACAGGGAAAAAAGAGGAACAAGCAGACCTGGTGATTTTACTATTAAGTTTAATCCATCTCTGAAACTTGACCCTGATATGAAACACGAACTTGCTCTTGATCGGCTGTCCATGACTTACTCTTGGTACAACATTAGAAGTGATTATGGAAACAATAAAATCAAATACACCCACGATGGATCCACCTGGCAAACAATTACTTTTACAGATGGAGTGTATTCCTACTCAGATATTAATGACTACATTCATCAATATATGAACAAGAAGTGATTTTGAAAAGCATTTCACTATAAAAAATTGCGATAAAACATTTCTTAAAATCATTTTAAGATTAAAAAAATTGCTAAAAAGCGACGACGTTTCGACGTTAGCTGAACGTCATTATCAAGTCAAAATAAGTTAGTGATTTTTGGTCTATAAATACTAAAAAAAAACAACAATAGCTGATTAAAAATTGTAACGTGAGAAAATATTAAACAAAGAGTTTCGCACGTATGGAGTCCGTCTGAATATTTAAATTGGGCTTAAGTTTCTTGATGAAGAGCATTTCAAATACTAAACAATCAAATTTGCTCTGGCACTTTCTTAAAACCGTGAATTGGCTTTCTCTCAAAAGGTTGTTGTTACCGTGAGCTTCTAAGAAATGTCTACCGATTGCCGAATTTTTGTGCTCAGCAATGCGTTGATGAAGGTGTCGGGCTGTGTACCCGACATAATCTGCATCGCACAGATCACATGAAAAATTGTAAACAACACACTGCTTATTAACAATTGACGGCTTGATTTCTTTGGGTCTGAGGTCTTGCCCCAATTTCTTGCTCACGAAAACTGGTTGCAAAGTAGGGCCAATCTTATGGCTAAGATCGCGTAACTGCTTACGAACCGCATTAGCGGCCACTTGATCTTTAAAAGGAAGACTAATTCTTACT